GAAACTCGAGCGTTGCGGTGTATGGGTGTAATGTACACGATTTTAATTTTTTTTAAATATTTGAATAAGATGCTCTACTTGCCTTTTTGGCTACGACAGTTTAATAATTTGTCATTATCAATACTAATTATCATTAATGAAATAATATTCAGTCAGAGGGCTTATTTATGGTAATAATATGTATACTAATCCTGAAGGTGGCGCTTTCCTATGGCAGCCATCTTGGATGGTACACATACACAACTTTGCATTGCTCCGCCATCTTGTCAGCACTCTAGTTGTTTAATAGCTCTATGGAAAATATAGATAAACATAGGTTTTATTAGGCGGCCATTTTGAAATCCAAGATGGCCGCCATAATGACCTCGGATGAGGTGGTTCCTACCAAAAATTGAATGCTATGACCATAAGAAACATGTAAAAAAAAATTGGTGCTTTTGTCCGGAACGTCCACATCCATCTGCTAAGCTGCCGGACTAATAGGGCTATAGGCCAAGAATGAAATTGTTCGGTACTATTTCACTCTGGAAATGTACTGTCACAAAAATGCGTCATTATCTACTTCTATATAATGGGATTCAGAAGAAGACGAAAAGGAATTTTAGCTTTGTTTGGTGTGCTTTTTGGTAAAATAAACAATAAGTAGGGATAGACCTTACAGACCTAGGCCCAGCTAGGCACCATCGACGTCAAGTGTAGCTTTTTAGGGTTTTTTTTTTTTATTACTTAATAAGCATGAAAAATTTGCTCATTTTTTTTAATGAAGTGTTTAATCCTAGGCCTAGGCTACTTGTTATTAGTTTCCTTAAAAACTAACTCTCCAAAAGAATTCTTTGCATGGCCTTGATTTTGCATCGGTCAAAGATTATTTATTTTCGCATTCAGAGCTTTTTCCGATAAATTATCTGATTTTGATACAAAAATTTATCAGGGCCCCATCTCCAAAGCGAAAAATAGCAAAATTGCTGCTTTCCGATAATTTATTGGATAAAAAGTGCAGCAGAACCTAAATCTTTATCTAAATGTAAAGTGATACAGTACATTAGTCCTACTAATCTTGTATGTTTCCATTAATCTAATGTACAATTGAGAGTTAAATAATGTTTTGAAAGTTCAGAGTAAACAGATGAATGTGTGTTGGGATGTAGCGTAGGATGTGTTTGTACCTTAATGTGGGTATGAGTTGCCTTACGTTTTCTGATGTTACTGTCATTTCTTGCTTCTCTGATGGTTTGCTAGGTGGTACTCTGAACTTAAAGTAATCTGTAACCATTTCCTTAATAACCTCTTTAACGATGGCTCGTAACTCTTCGTTTAGGACATTATCCTGAAGTGACGTCAAACAGGGATAATAATACCTGGCGTCCTCAGAATATATATTCCATAATCTAATTGAAAAGGAATTAGGAACTTCAGAAATTGTCACAAATTGCCCTAATATATTGTCTGTGTATTGCCTAAAGGTCAGGCAAATTGATTGATAAGAGAGAGCAGTGATTTGCACAGAGGTGTAAGTTCAGCTTCTCAACCTTGCGGTCAGGGTTCAAATCCCAACATTTCACTTGTGTCATCAGGCTAGGCACTTCACCAATGTATTTATCACCCTTGGCAACAGCCTTAGAAACGATATAGACTGGTGCGACTAATTATATCAGTAATAGACTATTGATATAATCAGCGGCATATCCAAGGGATGTGCATTCCCCCTAAATGCACCTCCTGAAAATGTTCAAAGCAAAAACAACATGCTAAAGTAGATTAATGTTGTGTTTGTAATTTTACAGTGGTCAATCTACACTACGCATAGCTGTTATTAAACCTTTCATCGGTGTGAGAATCCAGTGTAATGAAAACAAATAAGATAAAAAAATAAAAGATAAGTGCCTTCTGAATTACACAAAGAGGGATAGAAACCCAACTTGCTTACGAAAATAACAAATTTAATCATGTTAAATACTTAAAGTACATGAAAACCATACTGATGGAAATAACATTATAACAATAACATTAATATGGTACAAAAACGCTAAATGTTTTGTTTTTGTTTTTAAATACTATGACATTTTCATAATTTATTAATTATAATTCTGGGCTTTACCTCACAACAAAGAAAAACACCCCACAATAAATATCCAAACTCACTGATGTACCCCAAACATTATTGTAATTACATCAAAAAATACAGATGTTACTTACATGATGCAAACAATAATATCGAATAACATTAACATTAATACTGTAATAACAACTCCAGCACATTTCCTTAATATCATCATTCTGGGATTTACATCACAAGGAAGAAAAACAACCCACAATAAATGTCTCTACATGCTATGCATAATTATTAAACACGTTGGCTTCCAGCAATGAGTATACTCTCCCACAGGGTGTTGCTGAGGGCGCCAGGGACGAGTATACTCATCAAAATCGGGGGAACATTCTAGCGTTTATAACTTTTACGTTATAGATTGTAGAACCACAGACTCAACAGCTGGTAGTTCGGGAAAAATTCACCTAGAGGATAACGTATATATGTTTGTTGTGTTATGCTGCCGGTAGTCACTCGAGCGGCACAAGTAGGGGTGCCCTTTGAACATATACCAACACGTGGAAAAAGCGGACGAGATAACTCGCACTTGGCATAGTCAATAAAAAGTGCTATCACAGTGCCGTCGACGAGTTTACTCGCCCCCTAATATTTTCCTGCCAATTTATTAGACACATCATTTTGATGATATATTTCTTTTTTATGATATATGACTAGATAAAATTTTTTTTAAAGTATGTTTGTAAATGTAAACTTGTTTTGGCACACAGGAAGGAACCTTAAAAAAGGTATGGCAGTCAACATGTTATGTTAAAAACATTAATATCTGCAATAATAATAATATGTCGTTCTTACATAGCTCTTTGCCTTAACAAAGCCTCTAAGCGCTTCACATTACTACCCCGGTCATTGGATCAAACACATATGGAACACATTGAACACCAAATTAAATTATTAAGTTAAATTATATTATTATTCCATATTGCGGCTAGTAATCAGCGCAGTTGTGTTGGAACCTACCAGGTACCCACTTGTACTCCTAGGTGGAGAGAGGCAACCGTAGATAAAGTGCCTTGCCCAAGGACACAAGCGATTTGCACAGTGAGAGTTTCGAACCCCCGACCTCGAAATTGAGGTCGGGGGTTCGAAAATTGAGTCCAAGCCACAACCGATGCGCCAACTGCTTCTATATCCCAGTTTCATAAAGAAACCCCAAAACATTATTATACAAAACAGTACTAGGCTGCATGACTTTGTCACCCACATAACATTACGAAAGATAACCCGCGCTGATATACAAAGATAACCCGCGCTGATATACAAAGTTCTGTGTATTTTGTTAATTTACCTTCTTTGAGCCATCGTTGATACATCTTGGGCGATGTCTCTAATCATCTCGTTTGTAATCTCCTTCAGAATATCCGCAGATGATTCTCTTGTGCATAATTCAAAAATCTGCAAGTTTAACAACCAACTGTTTAATACGATCATGATCGAAATATATCATACAAAGCATAGTTTGAAAGTGTTAAGAGTGTGAACTGATGCACGGTATGATTTATTTTGTAGTCGACAATATTTCAAAGAGAGGACCTTATAGCAAATATGCCCTCATACTGTACAGTAAATATCATAGTTTGCATGTGAAAGTACAGTACAATGGTTTATAAATATTCAAAAAAATGTTTGTTGGATGGGAAGAACGGTTTAGTCTTATTAAATATACCTAAAATTTGGTCATAATTCTATTGATGTGGAAGTTGAATGACATGTATTCATCAATTAAACAACTAAAACAATAAATTTCCTCAGCTTTTATAATTTCTTGTGCAAACAATGAAAGGGAAAATTTTGGGAATCAATATTTAAATTTTTAGACCTAAATTTACACATTTAGATTTAATAGTAGTGTTGATTAAATGGACTTATTTGAAATAAAACTAATCAGAATGTATATAAAGATTCCTATTCACATTTTTAAAGGCAAGTGATCATTACGTTTACATAATACAAGTGTCATCAGAAAATAGTACCATCTTTGAGTTGTACAATATTTGATTAATTGTTAAATTAAAAATAAAATGGATCCAAGGATTGACTTTTGAGCAAGGAAATTTATTTGTAGTCCTTGCCTTGAGTGACTCAACATGAAACATATTTCAAACTTGACATATTTTCTTAATAACAGTTTTCTGTTTTACATCTGTAATGTTTAAAATCATCCATGTAGCCCACAGTTATCATTTACTATTAGGATACTAAAATAGCTTACTGTGATTTCGAATGCATAGATAGGTTAAGAAAGGCTCTGATACAATTAGTTTTTCTCAATTTATTAGTTTATGAAGTTCACTGATTGAAGTAAACCATCATTTGTTGAATGCTTTGGGCAACACCAAAATCGATCATTAGAAAGGATATTATATTTTACACATTACTTGATTTAACACACTTTTCTCAAAAACTTTAGAATTCAGATAGGTGTCAACTATAATTGTTTACTAAAAGGCACTATGACTTTTAAAAAGGATCACCTTGGCAACTTTTTTTTTTCAACTACTGTATATCAATTATACACCCCCATGTCCCACTGACATCAGCACTACAGAAAACATGTGATGCTGACTAACAGATCTCTATTATAATAGCTGGATTGCTCATTGCCAATTTACTGTACAGGACAAACTGAAGCCACTGATGCCATGCAAGTGACATACCAGTCCAGACTTGTTTGCATTTGTTTAAATTATTGATAAAAATAACAATTCTTGCAATATTTATTAACAATAAATTTATCTTCTACAAAATGATTTTTTCACATTCTATAACCACTCAATGCGCATGTTCCTGCAGTTTACAAAAGGGCAAGCGATTGTTAGTGATCGTCACACCTGTTCAAATGTTTTGCGCTGGGATTTTATTTTATTTTATTTCAACTATCCAACAGTTAAGACGTTTTGGCCTCCCCAATATGGCGTCAGTGGCTTCACTACAACCAGACAATGAGCAATCCAGCTACTATAGTAGAGGTCAGTGTGCTGACCACAATAAAAGTGTACACAATTGTTAACCTAACTCAATGAAAGTTCTCAGAAAGGCCTACTGTATGCTAGTAATAAATACTAATGATGATCGGATTCGTAGCCATCTTAAGAGGAGAATATTTTGTCTCAGCAGCTGCTCTAAACTAATCAAGAAAATTGGTGGCACATAAAATTAACAATTGCAGTGGCCGGTCAGGGAATTTGAAATATACGGGCCAGGGAGGATGAAGACCATTTATGAATGGGCCCATAGGGCCCCAGTGCTTTGCACTGGGTGCACCGCCCGTAGCTACACCACTGTAGCCCATCAACAAAAAATTTCCTTAACTGTTGTGTGAAAAACTGTCTCCAGTGGGATTCAAACCTGTGACCTCTTGCCGACAATCAGAATATAGAGGGCACTCTACATAACACTGTTTAAGAAGTTGTAAATGAAACTGACTTTGCCCAGTATAATATATGAACTTATTTTGTCTGTTGACTTCTGTTTTGTGGGAAATTGTAACCATTAATCAAACACTCTATGCTATATCATATATTACAGAGTATTGTATATAATTTACAGTAAGATTGTGAGTTGAAGAAAACAAATAAAACTAAATTTACAGGGTTGTAAAAAAAAATACAAGATCTTAAATGTGGTTTTAAAAAGATTTAGGTTTAATATTATTTAGAGAAGGCAAATATATCAAGAAAAGCTTTTACATACTTTAAAGAATGTCAGATGGTTGTGCTCTATATGCAAGATATTTCTCGGGGATTTGAGACCAATGCAAGGTAAGACACATCATTTGCATTTGCTTACCTTTCATTCAGGAGTATAAATGGGTACCTGGTAGGAGGTGAATGATTCGGAATGAAATTAGTAGTGCTGATTACACGCATAAATAGGAATACTCCCTCAGGAAGTGGAGGAGGTTGCATGTTGTGTATGATTGTATCCCACGATCAGGGAAAAAAATCGCCTTGAGCAGTTTTCTGGTTATGTGGGCTATATAAATCCAATAAAATAAATATTTAAAAAAATCTTTTAAATTGTTGTAAATTATCTGAAGAGCAAAATTATAAGTAATTCATTTTAATTTAAACATATGTTTCATAGTATCTATTGATAACTATTTTATAAACAATTTTAGTCTAGTATTTGACTACTTATATTTTGTGTTTTTCAGCAATCAATCCATTAACAAACAATTGACATGTACAGATAGAAATTAGAATTCTAAAATTTACTCCTAAATTAGTGTGTATTTTATGAAAAGTTTTGATTACTTTGTTGTTTTCACTATAGCCTGGTTCTCACGAGAGCCCTAGTATCCGGATCGGGAGCTAACTGTTAGCGCTAACTGTTAGCACCTGCGTGAGAACGCCCAATCGGTTAGCGCTAACCGTTTGCAGTATCCGGATACCGCTAACAGTTAGCAAGCGCTATCGGTCTTCAACATTCAACATTTTACTGTGAAAACTACGTCCAATAGCTGGGCCAATGTATGGCTCTTTATTAGGGAGATTTTAAGTTAGCGCAAGTAGTACTATTAAAATAAATAAAATATTGTATCATCACATGTTGGTTTAGTATTAAACAATTGCATCATATACGTTACACTGTGTCTGTAATCTATCAACTGCAATCAGTCCTTCTTAATTTAATCCTGTGTCTTATTGCATCAATATATTACAATAATAATTGCATATTTGTAAATGACAATTTGTTATGGTTAGCAGAATATTTAAAAAAAAATGAATAACACAGAATAAATTTTTTTAATGCAATCAGGTTTAAAAACATTCATATTCAATAAGAAAATTAGAAATATAGGGTTATAAAATTACTAAAAATATACACTCAATCTTATAAGTGGTTGTACGGTAAGTGGTTACCAGTTTTCAGGGATGAAGTATGAATTAATAGCAAAGCTCTTAAGTAGTGTCTCAGGGTATGGATAGCACGATTCCCGCTAGTCCAGTAAGATTGGCACGACCTTGGGTAAAACACTTGGGACTCTAATCATGCTTCTAAAAGGAACATTAAGCCACTGGTCTCATGAGCTTAATTTTATTTGCCCAAGAAAATGATGTATTATACTATTGGGAAATGTGTTACGTTAGTATTGGCCTTTTTACAAGTATCACGGCCATTCTATACATATTTGTGTTACCGTATTTGTGTTACGTAGTAGTGACAGTTCAAGTGGTAAATTCACTCTGCAATTCCTTACTTTTGTTTTCCTGTCAACGTAAATCGACACCGCCGTTAAAAACCATATGCAATTGCCTACATTTAAATTGAAATCATAAGTACAGTAAGATGATATCTATAAATCACTATCATTTGAAAAAGGTTTTAACTTTAATGATATTGTTAAAACAGAAAAACTGACCAATGAAATTAATCAGTGATAATGTAATGTTCAACTACTGATCCCTCTGCCCCTGCCAAAGTTTTTTTCAAAATAGCATGATTGAATCTGTAAAGGTTACTGTATATGATGCAGCCCAAGGTAGTTTATCATCAGGAACCATCTTCAGGTTGTCATGAGAATGTTTAATATTCTATGAGTGACTGTCCTTGATGGAAACCTATTATGTCTGCATTTAACACACACAGACTCAACAACAATTAGCGTTGGGCTGTGTCATACAATGCTGAGTATGCCTTTAGCGATTTCTAGAAAACTTGACCACTTTCTCAAGATCTACTTAGTACTTGAGACTTGGTAATGTTCATCAAGCATAGTGTCTACAATTATTATAGATTGCTTTGGTAGACCTGGTAGTGATAGTGACATCTATAAATCAGAGGTGCGCACCTTCCTCCTTCCCTCGTATTTGTGTCTGTTCATTAACAATATTTTAATTTCTTTACTGTGGACACTGACCATTGACCAAGAATACATTTTCTTTTAAACCTCAAAGAGGAAACCTTTGGCCCAACAAATTAAATGTCTTGTGCTGAGAATCAGACTCCCAAACTTAAGGTTGGTGATTTGGGCCTCTTGCTTTGAATTTTGCTTGTGTGCTTGGGCAAAGCACTTTACCTATGTATGCTTGTCTCTCTGCACCTACAAGTATAAAATGGGTACCTCATCAGTATACTAATGTCCTGGGACTTGAGGAGGTTGTACCTTTGCTAATTATTTATCCACTGACCAGGGGTAACAACATTCCAATGCCACTGCCATTCCAAAAGCTGCAGAATAAATTATTCATGTATGTATACGTATTTATGTATACATTTTACAACTATGCTCCCTTCTTCCTACTTAAAACTATTTAAAGAAATACTTTTAAAGTTTTAAAGTCAAAAGTCTGTTTCTGTCTACGACAAACTTGAACTAAAACACCATTAATGATTAGCGTTTGAAAAATGGAATTTAATTTTGTAACTACTTAAACATGGATGTTTAGCAACAACCATCTTTAAAAGTTGGACAATATACAATGATAATGATGAATAATATGATGTCCTTGTGTGTATTAAAAGTGATTGGAGTATGCTGCCACTTTTTCACATTGTTAAGAAATGGTTCTAACAGTAATGATTAATCCAAATTCATTAAAACCTCTTGTTTTAACTAAGTCATTATTGAATTAGCTATTTTTCTCATAATTTTCTGAAATGCAGGTTTGGTAAACAACCTAAATAATAAACTATACCATGGTTATGTCCAGAATTCAATGGTAACTTTTTTTATTTTATTTTGTGGGACATGTTCTGGGATTTTTTTACCGGGGTGGATCCATGATTTGAAAGATGGGGTTCAAAATATTTATAAATAAAACTCTAAAAAGAAAGGGGGTCCTCCCCCGGGAAAATTTTGATTCCTAGATGGCCAGAAATAAGCTTCCCAACTTCTGAGGTGTCTTTTAATGATCTTCAAATTTCAAGATTTTCCCCCATGAAAAAGGTAAGTTAATTTTATCTCTACATATAGAAAAAAAAAAAAATAAATGACATAGGCAATATATTATTATATTCCAACAATACTGAATAGTTGGATACGTAGTCTTTCTTCTATGGATAGATAGGGATGAAGAACAAACTTTCATACATAAATTATTTTATACTCGAACCAAAAACAGTGTTTTTAATTTTATTAATATTGAAGGCTAGTTGAGCTAAGCCTAGTTTGTCAGGACAACCTATGCCTAGGTAGGTTAGCATGCCTTTTGTAAGCCAGGACCCAGTAGTATTTTTGTTACGTTTATTCACAGGAAGGGGGGGGGGGGTCATCCGACGAGGAGCTCTAGGAACACTCAACTGATTGATTAATAGATCCTTTTTAGTCTACTGCCTCTATTACATTGCCCTCATGAGGCTGATTGATTAATAGTTGATAGATTAATAGCTCTTTTTTAGCTCTACTGCCTCTATTATACTGCCCTCTTGTTAAACTGTTTCCTACCTTAGCTTGAGCTCTGTTATGCTGACTGGCAACAGGAGATGAATGATGGAAAGAACCATTATCTAAGACGTCATGGAGAGGGTTACGGGCATCACGGAAACGAAATGTTTCTAGATGTTGATCTTCATGAAAGGAAAAATTATTGTGTTGTTGTCGCTGATACATTCTACCTTTCTTTGAAGTTTTCGCATGATTGTCATCGAAAGAGTCATATGAACTGTGTTGAAAGTACGGTGGAGATGCAATCTCTCTTGGAGCATTTCTATATGTTGGGACATGTAACAAAAAATATATGAAACTGGTTAAAATGATTGGTGAAAAATATTAAATAACAACTCAGGTACCAGATTAAGGTGCAAACTACTCAACTACAGGCCTAAGTTGCAAACTAAGGTGCAAACTGCTCAGCTACCAGACTAAGGTGCAAACTACTCAACTACAAGACTAAAGTGTGAACTGCTCAGCTACCAGACTAAGGTGTAAACAGCTTCAGCTACAAGACTAAGGCACAAACTGCTCAGCTACTAGATTATGGTGCAAAAAGCTCAACGACTAGACTAAAGTGCAAACTGCTCAGCTACCTGACTAAGGCACAAACTGCTCAGCTACCAGACTAAGGTGCAAACTGCTCAGCTATCGGAATAAGGTGGAAACTGCTCAGCTACCAGACTAAGGTGCAAACTGCTCAGCTACCAGACTAAGGTACAAACTGCTCAGCTACTAGAATAAGGTGCAAAATGCTCAGCTACCAGACTAAGGTACAAACTGCTCAGCTACCAGACTAAGGTGCAAACTGCTCAGCTACCAGAATAAGGTGCAAACTGCTCAGCTACCAGACTAAGGTGCAAACTGCTCAGCCTTCAGCTCTGTTTGAATGCAAACAACTCAGCTAACTTTGGCACATAGGCTTAGCTAGCGAGCCGTCCGGCCGTCTTTTGGACAGCCAACAATTATTTAGGATGGCCACTTTGACCTTGGCCTAATCAGCTCAGCCTAGCCTAATTGGGCCTAGTCTACCTTCAGAAAATTCTCTATATTCTTCAAATCTATCGAATGTTGCATTAAACTAAAGCCAAATCATATTTACGTTTGATAAAAACGGCCTTTATTGAATTGATGTACGTTGTTTTCATACCACCATTCGGTGGGGATTCCCAAAAATGTTAGGCTTAACCATTGCCTACCCGATATGAAAAGTTCACTTGCAACACGCGTCGTGTTACAAACATTTATACCGCCCGCTGGAAAATGGACGGTTCTGAGTCGCCCACAACGCATGCACATGGCTCTGCAAATACAATATTTGAGATTCGGTTCCTCGACATAAAATTGTTGGTGTTCTTAACTCTCTGGTTATAATTAATTCCATGAACTACCTAAAGAAATTTGTTGTTAACATCACAAGTTAAATTTTATTAGTCAACAAAATACAGTAGGTCTAGGCCTATCTCCCAATTCGGAGGACCTAGGGTAGAATTTACAAGACTAATGCGAGAGATGAAGATGCATCTGCATAGCCTAGAAACATTATGCTGTATAACTGAATTATCTTTGTGATAGCTAATTCAACACTATTCCTTTGAAGACAAAATTCCAACATTTAAACACCTTTAAAGGCCCTCTGAAGATCCGATTTGGACGGCCTATTTCGTTTTTCTGGCTAAACCCTGCTTGGCAATACAGTAAAAATAAAAACAAATTACTATTGTATCTCACCTGTCATCTGGAGGTGTCAACGGTGGTATGACAGGATATCTGCTTGACCTTAGGTCAGCCCGAGGTTGAGGTGAGATATTGTTGATATCACCAAGACCAGGCGAATGTGGTAACCTGTATTGTTCATCAGAATACACTCATTGTCAATGAATAATATAACAATTGGGTAAAAAATAAATTAGTAGCAGTATATAGTAGAGATTAGCAAAAAACACTTAGTAATATTTATAAGCAACTTAGCACCAAACACTGCAGTTTTAAGTAGCAGCAAACCGATTAAACAATTGGTAGCCAATGATGTGTGTACACTGTATGAGCTGTAGTTGAAGCTGAGTTACTGTTGGAAATTGCTATGATGTGTGTACACTGTACATGAGATGTAGTTTAAGCTGAGTTACTGTTGGAAATTGCTATGATGTGGGTACACTGTACATGAGATGTAGTTTAAGCTGAGTTACTGTTGGAAATTGCTATGATGTGTGTACACTGTACATGAGATGTTTAAGCTGAGTTACTGTTGGAAATTGCTATGATGTGTGTACACTGAACATGAGATGTAGTTGAAGCTGAGTTACTGTTGGAAATTGCTATGATGTGTGTACACTGTACATGAGATGTTTAAGCTGAGTTACTGTTGAAACTTGTTACAGTGCAAAATTATTTGAGATTCAGGACTGGAATGGACCTGTGAATCAACGTGACAACAGCTTGGGTATTTACCCAAGATCTTGGGTATTTTGACTTGGGCTTGGGTTCTTGGGTATTCCTTTCAAATCCTTAGGTATTTTATTTTTACTTAGAAAATTAAATATTTTTGTCATAGAGGAAGAATTAAGAAGTAACAAAGTACATTTCAGTCCATTTATGTAAGCAAAACTTAACGAAGTGCACATAACATTGTTAATTGACTGTTAACTGCTATAAACATGGGTTCCGAATTGTTTATTTGTGATTTGCTTTGTCATTGATCTTACCTAATTAATGCATTACAATTCATAATAAAACTTGATCACTGATCAACTGATAACACTGGCCGACTGAGGGCGTATTTTTCTATCTGTATTATCACCTCATGAATATTAATTTTAATAATTAACACAAACAATTACAATAAAAAATGGTTTATAAATTGAACTAAAAGGGAAACCATACATGCGAAAAACACATTTTTTTCCCCAAATTTTAATGCATTTTCTGGAAGCTTGGGTAATTTTGGGCAATTTTTGCTGAATCGTGGGTAATTTCGACCCGGTCATTGGGTATATCAAAAATTGTGAGTGGTCACGTTGCTGTGAATAATTGACCACATTATGAAATTCTCCCCAAGGAGTTGAGTATGTGTTCCATATGTGCTTCATCCAATCACCGGGGGTAATAATGTGAAGCACTTGAGGGCCTGTTGGCATGAAGTGCTATGATACTGAATACTGAAATAATTTACTGAAATAATTTATTGTCCAACATATAAGAAAGGAAATGCATACAAAAACTGGCAAACATTTAAAATCACTCAACTCTGTATCGAATATTAAAAACTATAAGTACTATTATAAACAATTAAAAAAATTAAATATATTAATGTACAAGAAAAATCAAACTTACATACAAAATACACAAAAAAAGATGCAATTCTAGCCTTATTAAGTCTAACATATTAAATACTGTTACCTACTTTGGAAGCAAATGAGATGGGCTGTGAACTCTAGACAGCTTATTATGAAGGTCTTTTCTATCTTCTCCATAATCAGTAAGATGTGGTATTGGTTGCAGATTATGTTGGTGAGGTCTAAGATCACTGAATAGGAAAATAATTTATAATATTAATAATTCAGTTCAACACAAACATTTACTTCCTTTAAAAATTATAAATTCAGCAGTAATACAACACTAGGCCCTAGGCTAGGCCTACACTGAAGCAAACAAAACCCTGTTGTACTGCTGCGTAGACCTAGTCTAGAGCCTAGTTTTAGTTAAAACACAATAATTAGTATTAATATGTTTATCCAAGAACCTTTGAAAGTCTCGCAACCAATGTACTTGTGAGGAATCTGACAATTCGTCATTCAAATTCATCACGACAATAATTCAATGAGAGTCCACCATCACTCGGCACCCCCACACCGCGAGATTTGATCTTGCATGTCATGTTTACATAGGTAACAGCTGAGAATAATTGCAAAAAGCGTCACAAGAACATTCACCCATAACTATTTTTTCCCCGGATTAGATACAGTACTGTATTTCACACCACGATAGAACACAGCGTACCAGAATTCGTTAAACTCTACATAATCTCCATTCATATCCAGTATTATTCATATTAATAATGTACAATTTTACTAATTTTAATCTTGTAATATTTATACCGTAATTTAAATAGAGGCCTAATAATAATAATAATAATAAATATAATAATAATAATAATAATAGAAAATAATGAAGATGATGATGATACTAATAATAATAATAATGATGATGATAATGATGATGATAATAATAATAATAATAACAATAATTATAAAAATAATTCTGTATATAATTATGAGGTACCGTATTTGTTATAATAGAATAAGTCTGATTTATATTTTGTATCAATATTACAATTAATTATTAAGATATGCAATAACCATCTCAATCATACAATTTAATTCTGTAAATATAAATATTAATAATAATGCAATAATTATATTAATGATAACTATTAAGAATTCACATTTGTACATTAATGGTCAGCACTGTGAAACACTAGTAAATAGCGCTAAAAATGCATTATAGGCCTAACCGTTTTTATAGAATAAGTCTTATTTATATTATTTATAGTAAATTGTGCAATTTAAGTAGGCCTAACTTTTTATTTCAGTATTTGTAAATCGTTTATGTAGTGCTTTTGCCGTTGATAATTTTTTTTTTTTTTTTTTTTTTTGTAAATGTAGGGTACAGTATGCCAGCTGAAATTAAATTTCGGTTTTATATGAATATCGGGCAATAAAAAAAAACATTATGACTTAATGGTTGATTACACGATAGATATGAAGCTTCAATCATCATGGCAATTAGAATTGAACATGGAAAATCCAGGCCAGCAAGATGTAGGCCTAACATTTGAAGTTGCACATTTGTGTCTAGTAGACCTAACATCTAACAATTTATATTGATGATATTTAAACATCATATTTTTAGGGATCTGTCAGATAAATGTTTTAATTATTTTTGATAAATATTATATAAAATCAGTGGCGTAACAGGCGGGGGTGCAGGGGGCAGACTGCCCCCTGATGGTTTTTACCGGACTGACCAAGCCCGGTCGTACCAGGCTGGGTAATAAGAGAAAAGAAAGAGGGGAGAGGGATCAGGGAAACAGAAAGAAGGGGAAAAGAAAAGGAAAGGAAAAAGAAAAAGAGAAGAGGAATAAAGACAAGAATAAAAAGGAAGATATCATAATGACCAGACTCACAACACCCTGCAACCCCTTCTCTTCAAAATGTCCATAGCTCCTTTGATCTAAGCCGCCAGATATTCTCCGCAGTGGCCATAACCACCGGGGACAAGGGGAAAATATCCATCTGTGGAAAATCTTTGTCCACCCCTTGAAGATGCCCTTTTCACCCCCTGAAAGTGCCTGAAAATCTCAAATTTCGTGCTTGTTCTCGTTTGCCGTCTAAGTTAATTGATCGTTTTACCTAATAGAAGGGCCTCAATGTGTAATGATGGTGAAAGAATATGTTTGTAATAAATAAAGCCACAGTGAAAATGCTTATAAGTTTATTAAAAAAAAAAAAAAAAACGTGTGTGACCATATATAACATAGGCCTAAGCCCTAAACTAAAAAAAAAGTGTTTGCGCGTTTCGTGCTTGTCCTCCTTCGCCTTTTAAGTTAATTGAACACATAGGCCTAATAGTCCCGACTCATGATATAAAGAACACTTTTAAGTGTATCTTAAAAGATAGATCGTTTTACCTAAAAGAAGGGCCTCAATGTGTATTGATGGTGAAAGAATGTGTTTGTAATAAATAAAACCATGATGAAAATGCTTATATTTAGTTTCAAACACACGTGTGTGGCCTATATTATAACTGTCTCT